TATATAAAACAAGCCATTCCCCATGAGATGATCCCTTTAAATCTCGGGTTAAAAATGATTTGACCCTGCAAATAAACCTTTGGCTTATTTACCTTGAAAGAGATTTCCATATTTTCCCCACCCCAGACATCCAGGCCTGGATCATATGCCCCCAGTTCATAGAAATAGCTCTTGTCTATAGAGAAAAGACCCCCTGCCATAACAGGACACCTGTGCAAAAAAAAAAAAAAAACACCTTTAACTGCAGTTTAGATTTAGACATTGTATTACATATTACAACATAAATGTAGTATAACCTATAATTAGACCTAAAAGTACACTGAAACTACTATAAACAGTATAATATTCTTGATAGTTCATTTGTAAGTGTTGATCTGCTTAAACATGAAAACCAATACAATTATACAGTAATGATGTCCCATTCATGTTTGTTCCAGGGCCGTAAACGTGTCCTGAACACTGGGGTCCACTGAGCAGACCAGGCTAAAAATATAACTTTTAAACCTTTTGACATCCTAACAACAAACAGAGCGCTGCATAATGGAGTGCAGCATATCATTGCAAACATTTCAAATATTGGGTGATCAATGTCAATGTCTATGGTGGTTACGGCCCTGGTTTGTTCAGCTTTTCACATGAATCAGTTGTTCACAGCAAAGAGAAAAAGTGCACAATATTATCTACATTTAAAAACAACTGATGATCACACAATTAAACACATATCTGCAATCGGCATTTATCAGGATCCAAGCACCAACGGCGCATACAAAAATGATACAGTGGACCTGTCTCTTTTCTTAAAGTGTCTCTTTAGGGAAGTATTATTGTATTAAATTATGCATTAAATTAAAATAGACAAATACTTTTGTCTTTTCATGTAATTGGACAGCAACATATTCAGCCAAGTCACTGGACAAGTATGTTCATACATCTTAAACAATTTCATTAGGATATAAAGCAAAGGTGATGTAATTATCTGTAAGCTTTCTGAAGATCAATTTTTTGTAAACTGACTATATTAAACTCTATCAAACTATATTAAAATAACATGAATATTTCATATATATTGAACTATAAGATTTGAATCTATAAGACCTAAAAATAATTCTTATCCTATGGCTCTCTCTGGTGGACAACGTTAGTATTACAGTCTTCATTAATGTCACTAATATTGATAAAAAATGACCCTCTGAACAAATTCATTACATTTACCGCATACTCAGAATGTCCTGTTGTCTATGTGTAATAACAAGATAATGTTATAAGATTTGTGAAGTTTGGATATTGCATTCACAACAAGAATAAAAATATAAAATAAAATATATGGCCTATATGATTGCAACATCGCTAACATTTCATAATAAGGTTCCATTTGTTAACATTAATTAGGTACATTAGTTAACATAAACTAACAATGAAAAATACTTTTAAAGCATACTAATCTCAGTTCATATTAATTGCAACATATACTAATAATACATTATTACAATCCAAATTTTTATATTATATATTTATATAATATTCATTATTATACCTGTGCTAACATTAACTAACAGTGTACAGTTGTAATTTCATTAATTAATGTTAACAAATATTAATAAATACTGTAACAAATGTATTGCTCATTGTTAGTTAATATTAGTTGTGTATTCATTAACGTTAACTACTGAACCTTATTGTAAAGTGTTACAAAGTTATCAAAACTGTTTTGACAACTTTTTGTCAGGGGCATCTCCAGATGGTGGATACACTTTTTTTATTAACTCAAAATGGTGGAAAACTTCATGTAAATAAATAAATAAACACATTTATGTAATGTTATGTTATGCAAACTGATGTAATTTGAAGAGAGATTAATTTTGATTTTAACCATTACAAATCCATAGTTATTAGCAAAAACATGCATAAAGAATAACCTTGTGGTTGATTCTCACCAAATTCCATACACCTTAACCAAACACCTTAAAGCAGTAATTCACCCAAAAATGAAAATTTGCTAAAAATGTACTTACCTTCAGCCATCCAATATGTAGATGAGTCTGTTTCTTCATCGGAATAGATTTGGAGAAATTTAGCATTATATCACTTGCTCACCATCAGAATGAGAGTCCAAACGCTGATAAAAACATCACAATAATCCACACGACTCCAGTCCATCAATTAATGTCTTGTGAAGTGAAAAGCTGTGTTTTTGTTAAAAAAACACATTGTCAATATTTAAAAAATCTATTTTAACTTTAAACCGTTGTTTCTGGCCAAGTCAATAATCAATAATAATGCTTCCTTTAGTGAAAAAGTCCATTCCTCTGTTGTCCTCTCATCAATATCCACCAACGTATTTATTTGGACTCTTTTTTTGTAAACGGTGCATGATCTGTGCATATTTCTGTCCCGATTCAGACCAGCTGACTTTTTCACTTGAGAAAGCAATATTATGAATAGAAGACTCGTATTTTAGCTGGATGCTATGATTTTAAAACGTCTTAATGCATTTATTTATCACAGACCCACGTTTTCACTTTTCACTAGATGTTAACGGCTGAACTGGAGTCAATGTCAATTATTATGATGCTTTTATCAGCTGTTTGGACTGACGGCACCCATTCACTGAAGAGGATACATTGGTGAACAAGTGATGTAATGCTAAATTTCTCCAATTTTTTTTCTGATGAAGAACAAGAAATTCATCTACTGTACATCTTGCATTGCCTGTAAATTTTCAGCAATTTTTCTTTAACCTGACAAATTTTGTGATGGTCTGTCATTCAGATTTGATGTTATAAGGTGATTAATTTTGATTGGCTGCTGATGGATATGTTTGTTTGTTTGTTTATTCAAATAAAATTGGAGAAACATCGGTAACACTTATTTTCAATGGTCCCTTTTGAACAATCTGTTGACAGTAAGTAATGTTGCACCTATCAACTAACTCCCATTAGAGTATTAGTAGACTGTTTGCTTAAAGGGATAGTTCACCCAAAGATGACAATTTGATGTTTATCTGCTTACCAACTGAACAGTATTTATATAATTTTTTACCTTTGATCCACCGCAATGTCAGCGCATTCACAACATCCGGCGCGTGACTCGTGTACGTGCTCTGGCATAGTAGACATAGATATATACAAGTAGATGCCTCATTAGTGACTGTTTCTATGGGCCGCGATACGTTCCAAAATGGTGGACGCATCAACGTATCTGGAGCAGTCGAATAGGGCATCTATACCTATCTATGATAGTAGACGCATGTGTGGAAGCGATCTGTCGCGCGTATACGTCACTCATTATTTACACAGTGCAGAGATTGCGGACGTGTTCACTGGCATTGTGATGATCTAAAGATATTTAGAAGTACAGGTCATCACAACGGAAGACGATTTTGATATATCATCAGACAACATGGAATTTTTTGCCCAACCTTATTTATTTGACGTCACGCGCCGGATGTTGTGAACGCGCTCAGGACAGTTGGACATTGCGGTGGATCAAAGGTAAAAAATGATATAAATACTGTCGTGATGGCCCAAAATGGATTGTTAATATGCGTTATTGTGGAAAATATTGTGTATTGCTGGGTTTATGAAGTTCTTGGTAATATTACAAATAATTTTAGTAGTCTGTTTTGGTGACAATTTAATGCCTAATGTAAATTTGGGTCCTGTAGCAAAACCAGTTGAGAACTGCTGATTTACACAGTGGTTAAAATTAAGAAACGCTCCTTTTGAGTTCTGTTGCTTTCACTAAAAGGATTTAAAATTTTCATTACAATGGGATGTGAGCACTGAGCAGTCAGATATGTCTATGCGTTTCTATTTTAAACCAGTGAATACCCACACATGAGGTAATCTGACCAGATG